TTTTTTTTTTTTAAAGTACTCATATTCTACAACTCCATTGAAATAAGAAACAGTTTTCTAGAAGAAGTTATCTACTCAAATAAGTTTAGGTTGGTTTTATGGTTTTATGCATTTCTAATTTTCTACGTTAGGGATGGATGAGGACAGGCGGGTGGACCAATTGCGTGCAAGTCAACTTTATATAAGAGGTAGAGATGAAATGTCTATTAATAAAAGCGTTTGGCAGGTGATTTGCTGTCAGAAGAGCAACCTTATTGGTTCCATTTTTTTCGGCCGAAAGCAGTTAAAAACAAATTAACTTGATTCCCTTTTTCACATGTTTAGGGTTTCGAAGTTAGAAAACAAAGCGTTAGGAAGCAATTGCTTTGACGAAATTGGAAAGAAAAAAAAGCATCACGAAACAATTGCTTCGATAACTTAAAACTTTGGCTTAATTTGATAGACGCGCTGGTTGTACGCATCATAATTCTTAAAAGTCAAGTCTGTTTGATAGGAGGTAAACTTTCTTTTCTTAGTAATCAGTGATTAAATGGTTAAATGCCAAATTGCGTCCCCAAACTTTCAATTTTAAACAAATTTTGTCCTATAGCTTTTTTTACACTCATTTCATCCTCAACTTTGAAAATTGTACAATTTTTGTCCCTTTGTTAGTTAAGTGTAACGTGGACCGTTGAATCAATTCACCTGGCATTTTCTTTTACTTTTGTTGACATGGCAATGACTAATGAGAAAAGTAGTTTAAGTGGACCAAAAATAACTCCAAATCAGATTGTATTTAGCCAACATGGTGAAAATTTTAAATACATGGCAATGGTACCCATAACTTAAAGGTTAAATGTTAATTTTAGTATCTAAATTTTTAATATTTGAACAGTTTTAGTCCCTTAACTATTTTTCATACTTTTTTAGTTCTTAACTTATAAAAAATGCATTTTTTTTTTATATCATGCCATCAATTAGTTTGTTATGTGCATATTTGATGATTAGGTTGTAAAAATACAACTTGATGCCAAAAAGTATAATAAAATTATTGCATAGAATATTAAGAAAGAAAATAAAAACAATACTAAAGAAAAATTTAAATTTAAAATTGTTTAAATAGAAAATTAAAGTTTTTTTTTTTTTTTTTTGCATAAAAGGTGAGGAAACATTTAAACATTTAAAAACCTCAACTCTGTTGTACCTATAATTTTGATGATTACAAAACACATTTGAGTGACTAATTGATTTATTTAAGTGTGTAGTTAAGTTGCTAAAAGATTGCAAGTAAACTTGGATTGCACTAAAAATAGACCAAAAGGATTCAAAATGTGCAGAGAGCCGGCTCTGGAAGCTGCAGCCGGCTCTACGGGCAAAAATTTGAAGACCATTGTTTGGCGCGCGCGGAGAAAAGACGCAAAGCCGGCTTTGGCTTTGCAGCCGGCTGTGAGGGTGCATTTAATGCACAACGGTCGAGTCATTTGAAGACTATTTAATGTATTTAAAGTCAGAGTTGCAAAGCCAGCTCAAAGTTTTGCAGCAGGCTCTCGAGGAAAACAGAATGGGCAGAATCCCGCAAAGCCGGCTCTGGAAGTTTAAGCCGGCTCTACAGAGCCGGCTCTAGGAAGTTAAGCCGGCTCTCCTGACAATCCTGCAACTCGAGCTTCACGTCCTGCAAGGCATTTAATGACCCCCAACGGCTATTTTTGAGTAAGAGGCTATATATATGGTTGGTAACAGATCTGAAGAAGTTTGGAGAACATTATATTGAATATGTTTACCCACCAACTTGTGCTTTAACTAGAGATTTTAATCTTTGAGAGATATTTGTTTGTAATCCTCTTCTTGTACTATTAGTGAGTGATCTTGGGGGTGTGTTGATTCCTTCAAGAGTGATCTGTAGAGAGGATCTTTGGGGTTTATCTTGTAAAGGGGTGAGATTTGAGAGAAACACCCTTATTCTTGTAAAGGATTGAGTGGCTCCTTTAAGCCATCATTGTTTTTGGGTTAAAACCCCTTTTTGGTCCCTGAACTATTGTACGGACCCTCGATTTGGT